TCGTCCGTCTTCGTCGTCGTCGTCGTCGTCCGTCGTCCATCGTCCGTCGTCCGTCGTCTCTTCAGGGGTGGGGTGATGTTTGGGGGGGTATCATCATTCAGGGATAACGCTCGGGGAGGGGGGAGGCAGGAGGTGCATGGGAGGGACGCACCGGCCCCCACTCACCCACTTATCGGCGATACGGGCCAGATAGCCCACCCCGCCCAGGAGCGTACGGCATCTCCATCGTAAACCCATCGCCGATGTATCGGCGATTCATCGCCGATTCCGCGTAGATGTTGCCCTCCTCAGCCAGTCCCCCCGTCCCATCCTTCCCCCGCAATCATGGCCCTGGCCGTGAGATCTCCCAGATGTCGTGTCCCCTTCGTCTTCTTATTATCAGTCGACGATTATGCGTAGCAAGCCTGCTCTTATTATGTTAGTGCCGTTGCGACTAGTGATTAGTCAGGCTAGTAGGGTCGTGCTTCGTACTATGATTGCGAAGGCCTTGCGGTGCCGCCGACACGGACGGCGGGACCTCCCCGAGGACCTTTGCTGGGGACCCCCCCTGGGACCTGCCAGGACACTGGGGCGGGGCCGGTGCTCTGACCCGGGGCCCACCCCGCCCACTCACCCGCTGCCCCCCCCACCCAGTCACCCACCCACCCACCCTCGGACCAGGGAAGGGGCTCGACTTGCCTACGACGTCCCTTGTCCTTGTTCCTCAGCTTCCTTAGGACTGGCGACCACGACAACGACCACGACGATGACAGCGTCTCTCACACGCCGAAGGGCCAGCAGATGAACAGTGTGAGTGTTACCGTAGCACCCCGCAGATGCGGATAAGAGTGAGGGAGCGGTGGGGAAGTCGGCAGTCTGCGAGAGTCTGGAGAAGCTCGCCGCAGGCGCCAAAGTTTCGCAAATTCTAGACGCGTATCCTCACCAGTACACACCAGCCCCCCCCCCAGGCGGCGGTGCGGTCCGCGGAGTGAGTGCTCTGTTGGTACTTGCCGTCCACCGGCTCTCTCTGTGGTCAGATTCAGCCCTGACTACACCCCAGCGCCTATGAGCTGGCCGCGGCTGCAGCGTGCCTCTGCGACCTTCGGCCGATACCCGCTTGGCGGCAGTACTGGCGCTTGGGCCTGCGTGTCCTTTCTTGGGTTGTTTCCTGGCCTGTTGGGCGCTTGGGCCTGCTTGGGTTGTTTCCAGGCCTGTGACTGGTTTCGGAAACGATGGCTGACGCACCGGCCCCACCATGTGCAGCGGCGTGGATCGTGGAGTGAGAGCTCTGTAGGTCCCTGCCTTTCCTTTGCCCCTGTCTCAGCCGACCCCGCGCTCGGTGGTGGTACTTCGCTCTGAGTGGTTCAGCCTTCAGCGTGTCGCTTGTGTGCTGCCTGTCTGGTCGGCTAGGTTGGCTGCGCGGACTGGCGCCGACAGGGCGACTCTTCCGCTGCATAGCACTGCGGTCTGCTTCACCTCGGTGTGGCTTGCGCCTAGGTGCGTTCGCCTTAATGTGAAGCAGTTTGCTCAATGCATGTGCACACCTCGATTTCTTTGCGAATTGTTACTGCAGGTGCGTTGTCTGTTGTAGCTAATTAGCTTCGCCTGCTGGCCCAGACGACGCCTTCCGCTCCCTGTCCGCCGCTTCGGAGCCGCCGACCAAAAAAATATCCTCACCAGCGTAGCTAATTAGCTTCGCCCGTGGCCCGGACGTGGCCTTTGCTCCTTGACCCTAGTCTCGGGGCCGCTTACCAAAGAGTATCCTCACCAGCCCATCCAGAAACGATGTCCAGGCGAGTTGAGAGGTGATCAGGGAACTGCGGGAGCAAAGAGGGGGACGGCCGTACCGTGCGAAAGAGAGAGGGGGCGAAGGAGAAAATTGGATGGATGGATGAGGGTGTGGGGAGAAGGAGGACGAAGAGGATGAGGAGCAGGAAAGGCGGAGGGGGAGGAGGAGGATGAGAAGGGGCAGGAGGAGGAAGGAGGAGGAGGAGGAGAGTAAGCAAAAGGGCCAGAGGTCTCATGGATGTTTCTCGCAGCCTCTTGGGGTATCTCTTGGGCGTCTTGGGACGTCTTGGGGATCTCTTGGCGGTCGTGGGGGGGCTCTTCGGCGTCTTGGGTGCCTCGGGGGGGCCTCTTTGGGCCGCTTGGGATCCTTTTGGGGCCTCCTGGGGGCCTTTTGGGGGCCTCATGGGGCCATCTTGGGGCCATCTTGGGGCCTCTTGGGGCCTCCTGGGCGCTGCTTGGGGCCATTTTGGAGGAGATCGATCAAACAAGCGGGGAGGTTTAATTAGGGCCTCCCCCCTCAGGAGGCCAACATGGGGCCAACACCCCAATAAAACCAATGAGTTGGTTTCCTCGCCGAGGCCGTTTTGGACGCCCCTACAACTCGCGAGCCCCCTTGTTCAGGTCCAGGGGAGGGGGTATGGGGGAGGGATAAACCCCTCCCCGAAGGGAAAAAGGAGGGGCTGAAGAGGAAACACCCTAAACCACCTACGCCCAGAGGGCTGGTGGGATTTTACAACGAGCCCGCCGCAGGTGCCGTTTTTTTGTTAAACCAATGTGGGTAGGTCGCGGCTGGGTCGCAAGTGGGTCGCAAGTGGGTCGCGGGGTGGGTCGCGGGTGGGCCGTGGGGTGGATCGCAAGTGGGTCGCGGGGTGGGTCGCGGGGTGCGTCGCGGGTGGGTCGCGGGGTGCGTCGCGGGTGGGTCGCGGGTTGGGTCGCGGCTGGGTCGCGGGGTGGGTCGCGGGTGGGTCGCGGGTGGGTCGCGGGGTGGGTCGCGGGTGGCTCGCGGGTGGCTCGCGGGGTGGGTCGCGGGGTGGGTCGCGAGTGGGTCGCGGGTTGGGTCGCGGGTGGGTCGCGGGTTGGATCGCGGGTGGGTCGCGGGGTGGGTCGCAGGCGGGTTGCGGGTGGGACGACGACAACAAACAAACAAACAAACAAACAAACAAACAAACAAACGAACACACAAACAAAGCAACAAACCAACAACAACAACGCAACAACGCAACAAACAGAATTCTCACCACGGATTCCCATTTCGGCCACGCAACAGGGACAATGAATGACCGGTCGGCCCCCTCACTGTGAGCATTCGCATTGGCATTGTTGCCCGTGTTCGTGTTATGTTGTTTCCTCCCTGATGGGTTGTGTATATATATATGATTTGTAATAGTCGTGGTACTGTGATGCATGGTATGCTCAATGCCAACATATTTTCGAACTGACCATATCAGCACCCCTTGCGCCATCACCCTTGACTTTCATAGTCTTACCATTACCAACATTAGTACTAGTGTTATTACGATGTGCTTCCTGCATTCTCAGTGCTTGAAGGCATCGTTCATACACATTGGATAAACTCCGTTCCTCCTCATCCCCTCCCTTTCCTGGTCATCGCCCCTCCCCTCCTTTCTCTCCTCCGCCTCGTCGACCTACTCGTCAGCCCGCTCCTCTGCGAGGCCAGGCTTCCCCCTCACTGCCATACGTCCTCAAGCGCGCTTCCCCTCCGTTTCCTGCTCATCGTCCTTTTCCTCTTCTCGCTCCTCCGCCCCATCGACCCACTCGTCAGCTCGTCAGCCCGCTCCTCTGCGAGGGCCAGGCTTCCCCCTCCCTGCCATATATCCTCGGGCGAGATCCTCAGACTCGACGGCAGGACGGCCCCAGGGGCCTACACGCTGCAGGCCCCGCGCGCGCGCGAGCGACGCGCAGGGCGGGGCACGCGACCTTGCGGCCTCCTGCCTCGTCCTCCTCCGACGAGACGACGACGACGATGACGGCGCTTTCTCCTCCTCCTCCTCCTCCTCCACCTCGTCCTCCTCCTCCTCCTCCTCCTCCTCCTCCTCCTCCTCCTCCTCCTCCTCCCCGCCTCCTCCTCCTCCTCCTCCTCCTCCTCCTCCTCCTCCTCCTCCTCCTCCTCCTCCTCCTCCTCAGTGGTGAGTGGCGAAAATAAACGGCTCGGCTCAAGGAAAAGGGCACTGGGCGGGCGCCGCGGAAAATGAAAGAGTGCGAGCGCAGGGCAAGACTATTGGTAAGAGTAGGCGCCCGCCAGGCAGGGCTCGTTTCGACTCCTCCGATTCGATTCGTTTCGATTTCGATGGATTCCGATTCCGATTCGATTCGATTCGATTTGGGGTTCCGATGTGGGTTCCGATTTCTTAGTGGACGCAGACTCGCCTGCCGATTTCCGCCGATTCGACTTTTCCCGACTCGGCTGCCGATTTCTGCCGATCTGACTTACTTCGATCGCCGGTCCGATGTATCGATTCGATGTTGGGCTCCCCTGCCAGGTGTGGCGACATTCAATTCAGATAGACAACAACGGCCGTGACGATCAGTAAAAGAGGGATAAGCAGTATGACTGGTGGTGAGTGTCGTCGTGCTTCAGCGAGTGCAGTGTACTTGGGCCGGCATGAGAGGCTTGCCTGCATGAAAGGCCGTGCCTGGGGTGCGGACAATGTTGCACGGCAAGAGCATAGTTGCACTGACACTCGTCCACCAATCCCCCAGCATAAGACCCGCCCCCCTTCCACAGCACAGGTGCCACCCGGGCCGACTGCGAAGAGCGAAGAAGAGCTGTGCGTTGCGTGAGCTGCCGCTGCAGTGTCGAGAAGGGCCGCTCACCGCCGATGCGCGGCGGTCAGGTCCGGCCGCTGCATCCTCCCTCCTCCCCCATCCCGACATGAGCGACACCGTGGATGCCCGTCGGATGGACGCGTGGCGATTGCATCGGCGTGGGCGCATGTGCACGACGCAGGGAAACGGGTGCGGGGAGGAGGAGGATTTTGTTTCGAACAGAGGCGCGCATCCCAGTCTCTGGCACATGCACCTGCGAGGAGGAGGAGAACGGGAACCCGTGCTAAAAGCAAATGCTCACTCACAGGCGTGAGTGGCGCCGCGGCCCGCCTCTCCGCCGCCCTCTGAGCTAGGCCGTGGCCACCACACCCACAGGCCGTGGCCGGAGCTATTGGAGCTCCCCTGGTGCCAGCAGTGGCTGCATGCTGCCCGAGCGCGTGGCCCGCATGCCGCCGCGTACCACGCCCACTGCTGCAGCGGCTGCCAGCGCAGCCAGTCCGGCACACGCCAGCAGCGCCATTTCCGCACTGCCAGCAATCCGCGGCGTGGCCGCTGCGCTCCACTGCGCGTGCGAGCACTGCTTGCCGCGGTCGTCGACGACACCTGCTGCGCACGGAACGCACCTGCCGCCTCCTATCTTGAGTTGAGCCTGGCCGTCCTCGATAGTGAAGGGCACTCCGCAAAAGCCCAGTTTGCACACACACTGCCAGGTCAAGAGAAGAACGGTTCCCTTGTAATAAGGGGCCCACTTGCACTCGGTTTCCCCGCGGATTGCGTAGCAGTTGATGCCGTTGCACGTACCACCCGTCCATGGTCGGCACTCGCAAGAGTCCGACGTTGCGCTGGCGCAGCTCGCTTGGTTCTGCCCATCGCTGCACTCGCAATGACCCATATTCGGAACACCCAATGCTCGCTGAACGCTCTCTTCGTCCGCAATGCACTTGCCACCAGTAGGGCACTCCTTACCCTTGAAACCACATAGCGATTGATATGTCTCCGGGGCGAAAGAACGGTCACACTCGGGCATTATCACCCCTATCGGCAAGAAGATCAGTATACAGCCGGGGCCCTGAAGAAGGAACCCTTCTCGTTGGGGAGGGGCTCCGCGTTCCTTGAGTGTTTCACAGCTTGCCTCAGGTTTTCCGATGTTCTCGATAGGAAATCGAAGTTGAAGTTCTGGAAAAAAGGGGCCTCGTTCCCTATTTAGGGTTCCTGTATTTACTCTGCCGCTCACATGTGGCATGGCCAATGATGCGCAACATGCCCAGGACAAGTGCGCACTCAACGACCGCGTGCTTATGTCGTCCTGCCTCGAGGCCGCTGCCCACCCTGCCGCCAGAACCGCCCGGTGGTGAGGCTGGCGGAGCGAGCCCAGAAGGAGTGGCCGTGCAATGCTCGAAGCGAGGCTTGTGCCCAAAGCTCTTGAGCCAAAATGGCTACTGACAGCTTGGGGGAGGAGGAGGAGGAGGAGGAGGAGGAGGAGGAGGAGGAGGAGGAGGAGGAGGAGGGGGAGGGGGAGGGGGAGGACGAGGAGGAGGAGGGGGAGGGGGAGGAGGACAAGCTAGGTGCGCTCGCGTCATATCTGACATCCTACCCCTCCCTCCCATCCCTTACCATGGCGCAGATCCCCTGTCTACTCGCACAGTCGGATGTCGAGCAGGGCAATGATCCCGAAAGGGTACGCGATGCATTGTAGAGCACGGCATGGCATGGCGTAGAAGAGCACCGCAAAGCGTAGTATGTCACAGCATGGCGTGGCGTGGCGTAGTGAAGAATTGCATCACAAAGCTTTGCAACGCAAAGCATGGCATCGCACAGCGGCCCCGAACATAACATTGCATAGCATGGCGTTGAAGATCAAAGCGTAGCATGGCATAGCACGACGTGGCACTTAAGCACTGCATATCACAGCTTCAGCTGAAGGCATGGCATCGCGCAGCGGAACGCAACCTAGCATTGCATTGCATGCCGTGGCATGGCACGGGAAATGACGCCAGCGCTGCAGCGGGAGCACGATTCGGAACGAGCGGAAGCGCGGAAATGAGGCCAGCGCTGCAGCGGGAGCATGATTCGGAACGAGCGGAAGCACGGAAGTGAGGCCAGCGCTGCAGCGGAAGCACGATTCGGAACGAGCGGGGCCCGAAAATGAGGCCGGCGCCTCAGCGAGAGCAGCATTTTGAAAAAAATGCAGGCGGAAACCCAACTCCGGGGAATCCTGTGTGTAAAAAAACAGAACGCGGGGGGGCGAACACTCCCAACCCGTCATCAGGGGAAGGAGGAGAGTAGTATTCATATTGAGTAATTGTAGAACGAGGACGAGGACGAGGACGATTAGGAGGAGGGGGAGGGGGTGGAGGAGGAGAGGACGAGGAGGAGGAGGAGGAGCAGGAGGAGGAAGAGGAGGAGGAGGAGGAGGGGGTGCGTGTGTGCCGATCGTCGCTCGCAAGTTGCCCGCGTCGGGTCGCGCGCACGTGCCTCCGCTGCCGACGCGGCGTGCCGCGCCGGCGGCCGGCGTCCGCCACAGCGCAAGGTCGCCATGCCGTCCCGCGTCAGACCCGTCTCTTCTGCGTCGCTCATGTCAGGTCCTTCTCTTCCTCCTCCTCCTCCTCCTCCTCCTCCTCCTCCTCCTCCTTCTCCTCCTCCTCCCCTCCTCCTCCTCCTCCTCCTCCTCCTCCTCCTCCTCCTCCTCCTCTTCCCTTTTCCTTCCTTGCTCTTCTTTCTCCCCCTCCTCCTCTTCCTCCGGGGCTTCGGTGCCCGGCCTCGGGTGTGCCCGAGACGTGGGCTGCACATCGGCCCTGCGTGTCTGGCCAGGCCTTTCCAGGACGCTCCTCCTCCGCGGCCTGCTGCGGAAGTGGGCCGGCTCGGGGCAGCCAGGACGGAGCACCGCAGAGCACGCTCCGAGGAGCGGTTCCCTTCTCCTGTCAGTCCACAGCAGTCCTCCTCCCCAGCCTGCCATTCTCCAGGCGCGATCGCAGAGTCGTGGCGCCAGGAACTGCGCAGAGAGGGTTCCGCCAGCCTTGGGCCTCTGACACAGGGCGGACTTGCATTATATGTACATATGCATTTATATATCTATATATATATGTATAGATATGTGTGTGTGTCTGTCTGTCTGTCTGTATGTATGTATGCATGCATGCATGCATTCATGTGTATGTATGTATATATATTTACATATATATATACCTGTGCACGACGCACAGATCTCCAGGAGTCGTAGGAGAACAAATACCAGGCGTCTGGATACCTTGTGGGAAGATCTGGAGACGTTCCGCGCCGCTTCCACCGGTGGCGACGCCGGCGCAGAGGCGTTGAAGGCGGAGCTCCCTGCAGGCTCTGCTGTTGGGCACGGGGGCCCGCAGATGCGAGCCCACCTGTGCAACAGGGCTAGACCGAAGCGCTGCGTTGCTGGACGTCGGCCGTGTTTTGTTGTTTTTTGCTCTGGCGGGGACGTGCAGGACAACAGGGAGGGCAAAACGAAAAAACAGAACGAAGGCCAAACGAAAAGCACCGTCCGGGTCCGGTCCAGCCCTGCTGCGCACGCACCCGCACAGTGGCCAGGGCCGCTGCGCGGCGTCTGCCGCCTGGCAGGGTGCGGAAGGTGGTGGCCGAGGCTCGGCTGCGCGTACAGTCGGGGCGCTGAACAAGGAGCCTTTTTCGTTTGGGAGCGGCTCAATGTTCCTGAGTTGTCTTGCAGTTTGCCTTGGGCTTTTCTGAGGTTTTCCGTGGGAAGTCGAAGCTTAACTCATGGGAGAAAGGGGCCTCGTTCCTTTTCGTTTAGGGTTCCTTGGGTCAACGCCCCGACGGTGCGCGTACGAGCGGCTCCTCGCTGGAGTGACCTTTGATGCGCGCCTGCAGCCGCGCACCAAGGGTTAACTCTTTGCTCATGGTGTACCCAGACATCCTCCGATCTGTTTTTTTTTCAGCCCGGCTCCTGGAGCTCCCGACCTCTTCCTCGGGGGTAGTTTGTCCTCCCAGATCAATATGTTATGGCCTCTCGGCCCGATAACGGGCTCCCGAAGCCGAAATCGAGGGCCACCCGTGCCGTAGCCGAGGGGGTCGTCGACCCTGCCGCCGCCGCCCCGCGGCCGCCCAGGGGCTCGCGGCCTTCACGCTGTACGCGCCCCCGGACGCGCCGGCGTGGGGCAAGTCGCAGGGCACGTTCCCGAGCGTGTCCTTCGCGAACCTGACGGCCCGCACGCCCTCGCCGCCGACCGCGGTCGTCGTCGCCGCCGTCGTTCGTCGTCACTGCTCGTCGTCGTCGTCGTAGTTGTCGTCGTTGTCGCCGCCGTCGTTTGCAGTCGTCGATGTGCGTCGTCGCTGCTCATCATCGCCATTGTTCGTCGTCGTCGTCGTTGTCGCCGCGGCCGTCTGCCGGCGTCGTTGTCGCCGCCGCCGTTCGTCGTCGTGTTCGTCAACACCGCTGGCGCCGTCGTCTTCGTGGTTCCTTCCACCCTGGGATCCTGGCGTCGCAGTTGTTGTCGCATCTGTCGACGCTGCCCTGGTGGAGGCCAAGGGGGGCCCACACGCAGCATCCCAGCTCGCGTACCGTGCCACGGTGGTACTGACAAAAGGACGGGGGGGCCTTCCCTGGCGCAGGAGGGAGCACGCGCAGGCGGAAGCTCCGTGTTGGAGGCGTGCTGGCCTGGCTCCGTGCGGCCGTGGGCAACGCTTGGCCCCGACCCGTGTGGCCATGGGCAACGTGCACCGACGAGCGCGAGCGGCGGCAGGGCGAGGGGCCGCCCTCCGTCCGTGTCACTGTCTGGCGAGCTCCAGCTCCGGGGTGGTGGGTCTGCCAGGGCATGCCCGGCGAGGCGCCAGGCACGGCCTGCGGACATGCTCGGATGCGGCGCGGTTGGGGGGAGGTCAGTGCTGAGGACTGGGGCTGTTGGGAAAAGACGGAGGAGGAGGAGGAGGAGGAGGAGGAAGAGGAGGGAGACTAGAAGGAGGACGAGGAGAGAAGGAGGGGAGAGCGAGGAGGCGGAGGAGGCGAGGGAGACCCCGAAAACCTCCCTGAACCGTTTAGAACTGACAGAGTCCCCAAACACAAATATCATCATCCCCATCCCCGTCTTGGAAGATGAGGACGAGGGAGGAGGAGGAGGAGAAAGAGGAGGAGGGGAAGAGAAAGACGAGGAGGCGGAGGAGAAGGAGAAAGAGGACGACGACAGAGGACGACGACGACGAGTAGAAGCTCTTTACGCGAGGGGTCGCTTTGAGCTGTTGAGCAGGTTTGGGCTGACCAAAGAGCTATGCGAAGCATGGTGACCCGTACTGAGCGCCCGGAGGTTTCGCGTCGCCAAGCGAACGGAACGACCGGCGTTTCGGATCCGACTCGTCGGAGCAATTGTGAGTCTCCATGTTTCATGTATGCGGGATGTTGCGTGGCAATGACACACGCTGCCACACCAGCGAAATGAAGTGAAGTGACGGCGAGGAGGAGGAGCAGGAGGAGGAGAATTCAAGAGCGAGGACGGGGACGAGGACGAGGGGAAACAGGACGACGACGAAGACGACGAGGATAACGACGGCGACGGCGAGGGCGGCAGCAAGGAAGAGGAAGAGGAGGAGGAGGAGGAGGAGGAGGAGGAGGCCCCCTGTAGCAGAAGCCGCCAGCAGGCCAAGGACCCGAAGGCGCCCGTCGGGATTACCCCCGAGAGCGCGGGCCTGGAGGTCGTGCTGATCAGCGATGCCGACTACAGCAGGCTGCCAGGCCTTCGCCGTAGCCGTCTGCGTGGAGGGAGGCAGCAAACATGAAGGTCAAGGCACGTGGGGTTGGTTAACTCACAAGGAGGGGAAGGAGGATGAGGATGAGGAGGAGGAGAAAGAGGAGGAGGGAAGGGGAAGAGGAAGAGGACGAACAGAAAGAGGAGGATGAGGAGCAGGATAATGAGAGAAAGCGGAGGCAGGGAGGAGGTAGGGCAGGAGGAGAAAGAGGAGAAAGTGAGGGAGTGGGTGGGAGCGGAGGCGGGTGTGGATAAGGAGGGAGAGGACGGTGCAGGGCAAGGACTCCCCAGAATTACCTCCGAACCCATATGGAGCCACCTGGAACATGTTGAACCTTCTCCTCCTGACCAAGGGCGCCCTCGAGGGCGCGAAATGATTCGCGCTTTGCATTTCGCGGTTCGGCTCCGATTCTTCCCCATCCTCCTCTCCTCCCCCAGGGGGCAGCGCGAGAGCGCGAAGCTATTCGCTCAGCGCGAAGCGCGAAGTTCTGCGCCCTTGCATCACCCCTTCCCCTCATCGTGGATACGATACGTTGCCGTCACTAGTGCCACTGTTCACAGTAAGTGTGGCGCTGCCCTGGTGGTGGGAAACTTGATTGAATGGTGAAAGCATGCATTGTGTTCTAGACGCTTCGCTGAATCCCACGAGCCCGTCCAGAAACGATGCTCAGGCGAGTTGCCTTGATCAGGGATGTTGAGGAGCATGCAGTGGAATAAAGGGTCGGGGAAGCCGCCGTATCTCAAGTGGGGGATGATGGAGGAGGAATCGGAGGACGAGTAGGAGGAAGGAGAGGGGGGAGGGAGGAGGAGGAACAGGCCGATGAGGAATAGGAGGGGGTGGAGGGCGAGCAGAAAGGCCAGAGGCCTCTCGGATGTTTCTAGGAGTCTCTTCAGATGTCTCTTGAGAGTTTGTTGGGGTCCTATTGGGGCGCCTTCGGGGGGCCTCTTGACGGTCTCAGGGGCCTCGTGGAGCATCTTGGACGTTTCGGGGAAGCCTCTTGGGGCTCTCTTTGGAGCCCCTTTGGGAACTCTTTGGGCCTCTTGGGGCCGCTTGGGGGCTCCCGGGCGCCTCTTGGGGCTCTCTTGGGGCCGTCTTGGGGCACCTTTGGGTTTTTGGGGGGCCATGTTGGAAGACTCTTCCAATATATCCCCCCTTTCTTGGGTCGACCTCTGAGGTCGACCAAAGAAAGGGGGGGGCACACCATACTGGAGCCCCCCCCCAGAAGGCCAACATGATGCCAACACTTCAGTCGGCAGAACGATGTGTGCCTTGTCGCCGAGGCATTCTTGGACGCTCGAACCGGTCGCGACCGCCCCCGTCCAGGTCAAGGGGGAGGGGGAGGGGAGGGGTAAACCCATCCCCAAAGAAGAAGGGGGCTGGAAGAGGAAGCCCGCTAGGCCACTTGCGCCCTCAAGGCCTGGCGGGATGGTTGTCGTTGCGGCCTTGGGACTTGGGAAAACGGTGAAACGTCCACGGCTCCATGTCACAAATTTCGGGGATGGGAGCGGCTGCCAGTCAATCGCCTGGCAATATATCGTCGAGGGCTTCCATTCCCACACCCTCCTCATCCTCCTCTTCCTCCTCCTCCTCCTCCTCGTCCCTCCTCCTCCTCCTCATCCTCCTCCTCCTCCTCCTCCTCCTCCTCCTCCTCCTCCCCCCTCCCTCCTCCTTAGTTGTTTTCCGCACTGTCGTTTCTAGCGCTTCGCCCGTCTCATTTCTATGCGTTGGGCCGCCTAGGACTCAGGACTAGGCCCCCCTTTGCTGGGGAGGGCGGCGGTCGGAACCAGAGCACCCCCCCGCCCCCCGTGGCTCACTGGGTGAGAGCCTTTGGCAAGACGTCGCGCAGATTGCCGCACTGCCGAGTCCGACATAGCGACGTAGCGACCCTCCCTCCCTCCCTCCTCCCTCCGACTTCCCCCTCCTCCTCGAGCCTCGTCCCTCCTGCTCCTCCTCCTTCCTCTCCTCCCTCTTGCCTCCTTCCCTCTCCTCCTCCCCCTCCTCCTCCTCCTCCTCCTCCCTCCTCCCTCCTCCTCCCTCCTCCTCCTCCTCCGCCTCCTCCTCCTCCCTCCCTCCCTCCCTGCCTCCCTCCCTCCCTCCCCTCCCTCCTCCTCCTCCTCCTCTCTCCTCCTCCTCCTCCTCCTCCTCCTCCTCCTCCTCCTCCTCCTCCTCCTCCTCCTCCTCCCCACCCCACCCTGAGCCGTTCCCCCCCCCCTCCTCCATCCCGGCCTCCTCCTCCTCCATCCCTGCGATCTCCGCGTCGTCCTACTTCTCTATCCCAGTCTCCCGTCCGGTGCTGCCCCTACCTCTGCAGAGTCAGACGACTGCGACTGGTCTCAAGTTTGGGGCCAGTTGCAGCCTCGCCGTCGGCCAGTCACGGCCGCACGGTTGGTTCTCAACACTTCCCAATGGCCCCTTGCTGCTGACCACCCGCCCCCCAGAGGGTTGACGAGGTTTATGATGTTCCAACCTACTTTAGCCTTGACCACCAGAAAGAATCTCGAGCACCAAGAAAGTACCGAAACTCGATGGGTCTTCACGTGACGGACCCTGGGATGCGACACTCGTTCGACGCTGTTTCGACACTTCTCTGGGTGCTCGACATTACTTCTGGGAGGTGGTCCTTTCAGTGCGATGGGGGCAGCGTAAGGCGAGGTGCCCGCGTGTGCTTAGGCTGGGTAGTCGAAGGCCAGACTGTCAGATTGGATTGGGCCTCAGGGGCCAATCTGGCCCGGCCAAACTGGATGATTTGGGTTATTCGCCAGACTGGATTCGCGTTGGCTCCGTCGCCAGATTGCCCCCGTTTGCCAGATTGGGCCTGCCAGATTGGCACCTCTCCCGCCCAGCCCAGCGCGCCCGTCGCCCGGACCTGGGCGCCTCTGTGCTGCCCGCCCCTGCTGCGTGCAGTGGGGGCCCTTGCCGGGAAGCACCCTCCTTGCCTCCAGGGTGCCCTGGGTTTTGGGAACCCCCAAACCGGGCGGTGAGATACCAGGTGGCGACCTGGAATCCCCAAAAAGGTCACCGCTGGGTTTGGGGACACGGGGTCACCACCGGGTTTTGTGACTCCTGGCCCCACCAGTGTCCGGGACATCCTCGGAAAACCGCACGAGTCCCCAAACCGGGTGGCAACACCAAATCGCCCGAGACTCACCGCCAGGTGTTGTCACCACCACGTTTGGGGACTACCAATGGGTTTCCTGGGTCTCGATGGTTTCGCCATGAAATAGGGGAACAAAAAGTGGCATAAACATAACAACTCGGAGGTCCGCGCGGATTTCTCGGATCCGCGCTGGACCCCCCTGGCGGCGCCTTCGGCGCCCCCCCTAGCGCGCTCCGTGGCGCGCTCTGCGCGCCAGGGAGGGGGGTCCAGCGACGATCCGAAAAATCCGCGCGGACCTCCGAGTTTTCATGTTTATGTTATTTTTTGTTAGCCTAGTTCTGCTGGACTTCGGCCGTGTTCTGTCTTTCGTGCTGCCAGGGAGGTGCAGGGGAACAGGCAGGGCAGAACGGAACACGGAAGGACCACAAAGCGAGCAGCAACGTTTAGGTCCAGCCCCGGTCGGTGGCACTGCGCTCCGGGGCTGGGCCCGAGCGCTGTTCTTGTTCTGCTGGACTTCGGCCGTGTTCTGTCTTTCGTGTTGCCAGGGAGGTGCAGGGGAACAGGCAGGGCAGAACCGAACACGGAACGACCACAAAACGAGCAGCAACGTTTAGGTCCAGCTTTGGTCGGTGGCATTGTGCTCCAGGGCTGGACCTGAGCGCTGTTCTGCTGGACTTCGGCCGTGTTCTGTCTTTCGTGCTGCCAGGGAGGTGCAGGGGAACAGGCAGGGCAGAACGAAAAACGAAACGACCACAAAGCGAGCAGCACCGTTTAGGTCCAGCCCTGATCTGTGGCACTGCGCTCCAGGGCTGGACCTGAGCGCTGTTCTGCTGGACTTCGGCCGTGTTCTGTTTCTCGTGTTGCCAGGGAGGTGCAGGGGAACAGGCAGAGCAAAGCGAACAACAAAACGACAACAAAACGAACAGCAACGTTTAGGTCCAGCCCCGATCGGTGGCACTGCGCTCACTGGCGCCGCCCGAGTGCACGCGTTTGAGGCACGCGGTCGATCACGGGCGCCTGGCCGAGGGGCGCGAAGCGTCCCCTGCGCCGAGAGCCGCCGCAGCTATCCCTCCAGACGTCTGGAGGAGGCTCGAAGGCCACGTGGCTCGACTGGGATCGAACGTCGAGGACGCCGCTTCACCTCTCGGGGGCAGCGTTCGGCGGGGGGGAGGGGACGGCCCAGAGCGGGGTGCGTGGGCCTCTCCGGTCGTCCGCGCCTCGCCGGGGTCGGCGCCCCGCGGCCCACCCCGCCCTCAGGGACGCATGCGGTGCTGCCCGCTGCCTCTGGGACACACCGCCGACCGATCGGCGACGTGTCCCTGGTTCCGGGTCGATGCTCCCTCCCCCTCCTCCTCCTCCCCCTCCTCCTCCTCCTCCTCCTCCTCCTCCTCCTCCTCCTCCTCCTCCTCCTCCTCCTCCTCCTCCTCCTCCTCCCCCTCGGTTCTGGGACGATGCTCCCCCCCCGAGACTGGCGCTCCCCAGCCTCCCTCGGCATCCCTCGGGCGTGTGCGCTTCCACGACCCCCGGCGCGGAGCCCCGAGGAGCCTCCCGGAGCATCTTGGGTTATGAAGGAGAGAAGGGAGCAAGAATCGAAAACAGAAAAAGAAGAACACGCGCGACGCCGCGGCGTCCACGGGGAGCACTCGAGCTCCCGCCTCCGCCTCCTGCCGCCGCCCTCCGCCCCCCGCCCTCGCCCCGGCCACCTGGGCCTCCACCTCCAGCCTGCGCCCCCCCCGCTTGCCCGCCCCGCCCCTGTCTCTCCGCCTCCGCCCGCCGCTTCCTCGCCCCCCCCCCCGCCTCACCCGCCTCGGCGGGGGCAACAAAAAGTGGCACGAATAGAAAACAAAAACTCATGCCAGGAAACACGCTGCTGGCCTCCAGGGTTCCCTGGGTGTCTTCGGCCTCGATGGTTTTGCAATGGATAGGGCGGCGCTCTCGTGCCAAGAAAGTCCATGGACGTCCTGGTGTCTCAGGGCTGGACTTGTTTAAGGGAACGACGAATGACATCAACATAAAAACTCCGAGGTCCGCGCGGATTTCTCGGACCGGCGTTGGACCCCCCTCCCTGGCGCGCTCCGCGCGCCGGGGGCGGCGCCGCCGAGGGGCCCCAGCGCGGCTCCGAGAAGCCCGCGCGGACCCCCGAGTGGTTGTGTGTACGACGTTGTTCGTTCCCCCCGGGGATTCTTGTGGAGGGTTTCTTGTGGTCGAGCTCCTACTGTAGCCTCCGAGGGCCCCGGGAGGCCGCAGAGGCCTCGGGAGGCCTCGCGGGAGGTCCAGAGACATCGGCGGAGGCCCTGCCCCCCCCGCCCAGAGTTCGAGGCGCTCGCTTGCCGAGTCGTTGCGTCTCTGCCACCTCTGTGTCACCCTGTCGGCACCCACCCCTCCCTGCCGCCCCCCGGTCCGAGCGGATGGCGAGGCGGTCTCCCCCCGGTTCCCGGGGAGGGGGTTGCGGCCCGCCCAGAGCCCCGACGTCATGGCGTGTTCGTGGCGCGGCCCCCGGAGCTGCGAGTAGGGGAGCAGCTGCAGACGTGATCTACCCCGAGCTTGGTCGTTCGTGAGCTCCGTGACGAGAACCCCCGACGTCGGTCCGAGGCGGGAAGGTATGGCCACCGCCTGGAGGATCAATGTTCGGAATCCCCGGCATGCAGTAAACATGGACATAGTCGGGCCCCCCGGGGCCAAAATATATCCATATCCACCGCCCGCTGGGCCACCAGGACGTCGGTTCACAGGCGGTGGATATGGATAAATCCCCGCCTCGCAGCCATGATTTTTGTTGGGGCCCATGCCCGGGACCAGTTTTTGTTCATCCTGGGCGGTTTCGTGGGCGCTCTCGAGGTCCGAAGAGCCCAGAGGGCCCCCCGAGCCCGGCCCAGCGGGGCGGACGAGCCCTGCGATCCTGGCGTCGTACAGTGGAGGCCCGTGCCAAGGAGCACCCTCCTTGCCTTCAGGGTGCCCTGGGCTTCCTGGGTCCCGATGGTTCTGCGTGTGGAGAGCGTGGCGCTCTCACACCAAGGAAGTCCATGGACGCCCTGGGGTCTCGGGCTGGGTCTCTTGTGGACATCGCCGAGCGCGTTCCACTCCTCGCAAAGTGCCTACTCGCACACGTCCGACAAAAACACCTGTCTGCTTTGCCGTAACTTCTCGTAGACAGGCCGCGGGGGATCCAGGCCACTTGCGAGCAGTCACTCTGCGAGTAGTGGAATGCGCTCGTCCCAGACCCCCGACGTAATGATTTTTTCATTACGTCGACCCCCAGAGGTCCCGACCCTTTCCCTCTGAACGCCTTTGCATCCTGACCCGTTTTTTGACGCTCCCGAGGCCCGGCGAGGGCCCCCGGAGGCCGAAAACTAAGAGAAACCGTCCGTCGTGATTTTGTCATTGCTCGCTGGGGTCTGGGGCCCAGGATAGAGGCCTCCCGGGGCCGGGCCCCCCGCTGCGGCGAGAGTCGGGGGCTCCCAAACGGGGTGGTGACCACACCGTGTGGTGAGTCGGTGGGGATTCGGGGTCACCGCACGGTTTTGGGACTTGGATCGTTCTCCGAGGATGTCTCGGGCGACTGGAGCCTCCAGGGTCCCAAAACCGTGTGGTGACGGACCGTACGGTGAGATCTTTGCGGGTTTCGAGGTCGCCGCCGGGTCTCTCACCACACGGTTTTGGGACACCCAAGAGAGGCCTCCCCGTCGCGATTCCCTGCCGCGCCTCGCACAGGGGCCCGCTGGCGTGCCCCCCGGGCGCCCCCCCGCCGCCGCGCCAGGCCTGGGCCTCGGCTGCCCCGCCCAGAAGCGGCTGCAGTGGCCGGAGGGCGTGCCGGTAGCGAGGCGCGGCGCCCCGGCCCCGCCCGCCCGGCTCCCCCCCTCCCCTCCTCCTCCCCTCCTCCTCCTCCTCCTCCTCCTCCTCTCCTCCTCCTCCTCCTCCTCCCCTCCTCCTCCTCCTCCTCCTCCTCCTCTCCTCCTCCTCCTCCTCCTTCTCCTCCTCCTCGTCCTCCTCCTCCTCCCCGTCCTCCTCCTCCTCCTTCTCCTCCTCCTCCTCCTCCTCCTCCTCGCTCGGGGGCCCCCACGGCGGTGTGTGGCGACCACAGCGTGCGGTGAGGCGGTGGGGCTTCGGGGCCACCGCGCGGCTTCGGGGGTCGGGTCGTTCTCCGAGGATGCCTGGGGCGACAGGGGCCTCCGGGGTCCCAAGACCGGCCCGTCTCGAGCAGTGGCCAAGCGTCCTGGCTCGCCTGGAGCCCTACCAAGCAGTGTTCCAAGAACCGTTCGTGGTCTGTACGAAATGTTCTTAGAACATTTCTGATTGAGACTGTCGTGGATTAACACATCGGGTTAATGTTCTAGGAACATTGTTTTTGTTCTTGGAACTGTTTGGGGTTCTGAGAGAATTTCGTGGTAGGACTATAGGAATGCCGGGACGGTCGGTCCCTGCTCAACGCCTGTCGTCGTCGTCGTCGGAGTCATCATCATCATCACCATCATCATCATCATCATCATCATCATCAGCAGCAGCAGCATCATCATCATGGCAATTGTCATCATCATCATCATCATCATCATCATCATCACCATCACCATCACCATCACCATCACCATCACCATCATCATCATCATCATCATCATCATCATCATCATCATCATCATCATCATCATCATGATCATGATCATGATCATGATCATGATCATCGTCATCAGCGTCATCGTCATCGTCATTCTCATCGTCATCGTCATCATCATCAGCATCATCATCATTATCGTAACTTCGCCTTCCACGGGAGAATCGTTGATTATCCCCGCAAGACCCCCGGACTTTCTTATCCCCAGGGCATTATTATCGCCCGTGGTCGGTTACGGCATGCCGGCAGGCGCTGCTGGCAGTGGAGGCCTCTGCCAAGAGGCCCCCGCCAGGAGGCACCCTGCTCGCCCTCCAGCTCGAGGCTTGAGGCCGGAGGCTCGAGGCTCGAGGCTCGAGGTTCGTTTTCCTGACGCCGCGTCCTCGAGGCTCAAGGTTCGAGGCTCGAGGTTCGAGGCCCGAGGCTCGAGGCTCGAGGTTCGCTTCGTGGCCACGGCTGCAGCCGCCTCGAGGTCTTGGCCTTCAGTCGGGCCTGTCCCTCTACAGGGGGAATTTTAAAAAATAGTTAAAAAATAGTCTGGGGATTTTTTTTTGACTATTTTCTACCTTTTTGGTGCATGTTTGGGGTATTTTTTATTTTTCGTCGAAAATGCCCCTGTAGGGGGACACGCCCGACTTCATCCTGGCCAGAAGGCGCCCTGGGGCATGCCCGGGGGCCGACGTTTTCACCCCGACCCTGGTCAAGCGGGGCGGACGAACCCTGCGATCTTGGAGTCGTACAGTGGAAGCCCATGCCGGGAAACACGCTGCTGGCCTCCAGGGTCCCCCGGGTGTCTTCGGCCTCGATGGTTTTGCAATGGATCGCGTGGCGCTCTCGTACCAAGAAATGTTATGGACGTCCTGGTGTCTCAGGGATGGGTTTGTTTAAGGGAACGAAGAATGACATCAACATAAAAACTCAGAGGTCCACGCGGATTTCTCGGATCGGCGCTGTACCCCCCTCCCTGGCGCGGGGAGCGCGCCAGGGGCGGCGCCAGAGGCGCCGCCAGGGGGCCCAGCGCGGATCCGAGAAATCCGCGCGGACCTCCGAGTTGTTCTATTTACGATATTGTTGTGGAAGGTTTCTTGTGGTCGAGTTCCTACTGTATCCTCCGATGGCCCCGGGAAGCCGCAGAGGCCTCGGGAGGCCTCGCGGGAGGTCCAGAGAGATCGGCGGAGGCCCTGCTCCCCCCCAGAGTTCAAAACGTTTTCTTGCCGTGCGTCTTGGCATCGCTCGGGCGTGTGCATTTTTTCTCTGCGAGGACCATCGAGGAGCATCTTGGATGTTTGTCCTTCTTCCTCCTTGTGTATCCTCTTCTTCTTCATCGTCTTTCTCCTTATACCTCCCCTTCTTCCTCCTACATGTTCCTCTTCTTGTTCCTCGTCTTCTTCTCGGCAAGGACCATCGAGGAGCATCTTGGATCGTCTTGGAAACAACCAGTGCACGGAGCCGAAAATCCACGGGGAACGAACGTCCGAGCGATGACAAGGTGTGCCTACAGTCAACCCGCATAGCAAGGATGGGCTACCTTCCCATTGGCACCCCTGATTCCTTGCCCCCTCCGCACATCATTAGCTGCCGCTGGCCAACCTCGACCGAGAAACGCCCACATGGGCCTCCAAGTAATTACCTTGCAGCCTTATCGCGCATCCTCATGCTGCGAGTTGACTGTGCTGTCTGTCTTCCTCGTTCCGAAGGTTTTTTTTTTGCGACGGCGTCGGCGACGTCGGCGTCGGCGTCCTCGTCTTCTCCGGTCCTCCCGCGGAGGGCACCTGGCCCGGGGGGCGGGGGACACCGACCCTGACGTCGGGCACGTCCCTCTACAGGAGGAGTGTCGACAACGTGGCCAAAGAACTATAGTTTGGGGACGACCTTCCCACTCCTATTTGACCACTGTGGGAGGTGTTTCGGCCGCATGTTGCGCTTCTCTTCCAAAACCCGGCTGCCGGAGGACGTGCCCGACCTGCACCAGCCCCCTCTCGGGCCGGATGAAAGGGGGGGATTGGGAAAGGGGGGGTAAAACGACGCGAAGATCGGGACAAAATCGGATCGGGATAACTCGAAATCTCTGAGAATCGGCGGGTTTGGAGGATGTATCGGGCGCCGCGGCCGCTCCAGAGCGTTCCGGAACGCTCTGAGAGCGCTCCGGAACGCTCTGGAGCGATTTATCCCGATCCTAGCCCTGTTCTAGGGGGGTACGAAATTTGCTGCATGCAGCTGGTTTCGGCCTCGCCGAGTGGCCCAGTCCGCGATACGTGGCCGCCTCCGGCGACGGGACGCGCCGGGAAAATCAGCCACGTGAGCTGATTCTCAACCCCCCCCTTTGCTATCCCCCCCCCTTTCTGCTGTTTTCGAGAGCACGCACTGCACAAATGTCCGTATCACGCGGCCGGTCTCGCGAATCGAGGGGCCGTGTTCATGTACACAGCTGGGCGCGTACGTCCTCTGTGGGCTCCCTAACCGGCCCCCTCTCGCCCATGCCTCGCCGCCGGGGGCCTG